AAGCAAAAGTTCATTTGAACTTTGTAGGATATAAAGAATATAACACTTATTTATTTCCTGAAAGTGTTTTGACTAGATCTGTTATCCTGAGAAAGCATATGTTAAATCCTCGTAATATTCACGTATTCTTCACTTGTATTATTATTATTATTATTATTATTGATATTAGATGTATATCATATATAAGCGTTATTAAGTAATTGCTCAACATTTTTTAAACTTTAGGTGAGTGCTATCATTCACTCTTGTTTTGCAATTATTTAAAACTTGTGAAATATTCCTGTAAAATGAATGAATGGTCTAACGTCGATACAAAAGAATGTATGGATTTTAGGAAAACAAACAACCAAAGATTCGTACTAGGAATGACTCAAGTTTTACCAGGGAACTAAAAATGTGACACCGAAATCCGAAGCCATATTGGAATAACAAAATGTTGTCTTATAAAGGACACAAATGTTTAGAAACAGTAAGTTATTTTTAGAAACTAAGAAAAGAGTATTGAACTATTACGTCATATTATTTTTTACTATATTGTAGTGAATGCTGGACATTTTCCTCACGGATGAAGAAAGAACTTGAGGCCAGAGAAAGATGTTGAGAATGCCATGGAATGAGCATGTGTGTAACAATAAAAGTGTGGTGGGAAACGAAAAAACATATTTAGAATCATTTGAATTTTTTTAGGGCATATAACAAAGAACGATGGTTTGGAGAATGTGATACTCACAGCATATATTGAAAACAAGAGAAACATTTGAAAACAGCGAATAATCTACATAGCAATCCGAAGCAGATGAGTGACAGAACACGGATTCGGAATGATATGAAGTTGACTAAGAAGAAGAAGAAGAGTGACACGAAGACAAAGACGCCGCAGAAGCCGAAGAGAATACTAAGAAGAGGACGACTAAGAAGAAGAACACTGAGAAGAGGACGACTAAAACTACGAAGAAGACTAAGAATAAGAAAAAGACTAAAAAGAAGATGAAGGCTAAGAAGAAGAAGACGACGACTAAGAAGAAATAAACTAAGATGTCGGCTAAGAAGAAGACGACTACTAAGAAGAAGATTAGGACGACGACTAATAATAATAAGAAGAAGACTAAGAAGAAGGAGAATAATAATAAGACTAATAATAATAATAATAATAATGACTAATAATAATAATAATACGAAGATGACTAAGAAGAAGAAGACTAAGTATGGACGGCGACTAAGAAGAAGACTAAGAAGAAGTCTAAGAAGCAGACGAGGATTAAGAAGAAGACTAAGAAGAAGACTAAGAAGGAAAAGAACTTAAGAAGATGACGACTAAGAAGAAGACTAAGAAGAAGACGAAGAAGAAGACTATTAAAACTACAAAGAAGACTAAGACTAAGAAGAAGACTATCAAGAAGACGAAGAAAAGGACGACTAAAATGAAGAAGCCTAAGAAGAAGAAGACTAATTAGAAGACGACGATTAAGAAGAAGAGTAAGAAGAAAAAAACTTAAGAAGAGGACGACTAAGAAGAAGACTAGGAAGAAGACGACGACTAAGAAGACTAAGAAGAAGATTAAGAAGAAAACGGTCACTACGAAGAAGACTAAGAAGAGGACGACTAAAACTACGAAGAAGAAGAACACTAAAAAGAAAGAAGACTAAGAAGAGGCCGACTAAGAAGAAGACTAAGACTAAGAAGAAAACGACGACTAAGAGGACAAATAAGGAGAAAACTAAGATGAAGATTAAGAAGAGGACGAATAAGAAGAAGCTTAAGAAGAGGTCGACTAAGAAGACTAAGAAGAGGGCTACTAAGAAGAAGTCGACTAAGAAGAAGATTAAGAAGAGGTCGACTAAGAAGAAGACTAAGAAGACGACGACGACTAAGAAGAAAACTAAGAGGATGACTAAGAAGAGAATGACTAAGACTAATATGAAGAAGACTAAGATGTTTTATATACAGTGCTTCTATCGCAGCGAGATGTTTTCGATTACGGGATTTATGTATATATGATAAAAAATGAAATGGGCAGATGTTGAGACAAAGGTTCTTCAATTTGATAATTCATGTGGATCACACTTTACTGCCTTTAGAATGTTCCCTACAACTTAAAAAAGTCTTTCACCGCTGCAACTTTTTTTTAGCCAATTCCAGCATTGATTGGCAAGAATCATCTCCACTGATTTTATCAGTCATTTTCCTCGTTTCGGATACCGCTTTTCCCGACATTAAAAATGACATGGCGGTGTTGTAAGAGTATCCTTGTAGTTGATATCCTTTATTTTTTCTTTTCTCAATTCAAAATAAATAAAGTCTAAATGCATAACATTTATAACTTGTTTTCTACTGTGTATTCAGTCATTAGATTTAAAAAAGAAAAAGAAAGCTTAGAATAAAAATTTTTTAAACATACCAAGCTACCGACAGAACGTTGTGCTTTGCCGTTAAGGATGAGTCAGATAAGAACTGATGAATTCCTTACTTCACAGATTTAGTCTCGTTCTTTCTGTCTGTTATAACTTTTTTTTAATGCCATATCATTCAGGATTGTAACCTTTTTGGATTCTTTGCAGATTTCTTTTCTTTATTATCTGTGGCTTACACTGTGTATCATTGTTTTTGTCTTTTATTTTATTAGGTAGCAACTTTTATTTCCTATTTGCCTACGTCTAATAAGATGAAAAGTGACTAATATTTCTTTCATACTTTGCTTTTGTGAGCAGGATAATGATATATATGAAATGGTAAACCAAGCAAATGTGAACATTCTCTCTCACTCAAAGTAGCAACGAAACAGCGTATAATTCAAATGAAGCATTTATTTATTGTAGAATTACACAAGGGAGACCACAAAAACATTTAGTAGTTTTTGGCAATTTATGCTTATACTGTAAATTACTTCCACGACCAATCCCGCCAGTATAGTATCCCATCATGTTTTCGTTATAAGATCCTTGATAGCCAGAACGTTCTAGAAATTCTTGAAAGTTTTAGAAACTGCTCATAAGTCCTTGAAACATCTAGAAAGTTCTAGAAAATTCTCCTTCAGCAACTCCGCGCTGAATCTGTCTCGAATATAATGGAAAATAGGTTAGTTTCAAAACATCGATGTCCAGAAGACAAAAAACTTTGAAGTGAGTAAATGTCATTCCCTTTGCTCTCTAGACAAATGCAGTTAGGAAGTAACACGTTCTTATCAAAGAGAAAAACAAAAGTCAATTTTTTTTACACAGTGTTATCATTCTTTATTGGAAGAGACAGTAGAGTATTTCCTTGTTGGCTCCACCTATTTCGAATTCAGAGTTTTCAATCTCTGAGAATGGTTACCTCTACCCAATAGCTAATGAGACCGGCCTATCTTGATATTTCATCTATATCTGTATGGCGAAGATATACATCTGTGTTTTTTTTTCAAAGGAATATTTTTTGATAAATGAAAAAAGACTAACATGGAATTTGAACACAGCTCACTGATTTCACTTTCCGTTACGTTAACATCGTTTTGAATTTGTTTTTAAAACTATGAATTATATAAAAGTGAATGGCTTGCAAGATTCACCATTATTTTTTTCGGAATCTTTTACCGTAAATTTAATCAAGGATAATTAAAACATGTCCATTGTCTTCATAAATTCCTATTAAAACAAAGAGCGCTAATCATGGACAATTAAAATAAAAGTGATTAAATGGATGCTAAATGAGATTTAAAATTTGTAATGAATTTGTTGTCAAAATATATATTCATTGTTCATCGCTCCGGTATCATTAAGGATTAACTGCATCCAGCAATTATTTCATTTTCTCTTTGTGTATATAGGACGGATTCCTGCAATAAAAACGTTCTTTCTGTATGAAACGCGTCACAACACAGTTTTCTATGTCGTCATTGGTTTATACACTGTTATTTCAAGATACATAATATATCGTATTTGTCATACTGGCAAACATACAAGAACGATGCAGGGCACATCGTCCTGGTCTGATGGTTATCAAGCTTGTCTCACTAGAACAATTAGGACTGAGTAGTAAGTTCGATTCTCAAAGGTTTTCCCCAAACATTCGGAATTGTGCCGCATATAAGCTACGCTTATAAAATCCCGATATGCGAGTCTAAATCTGAGGAGGGTATTTAAGAACATGACACGAGTCCTTAGGTTATTATTTGGCCTTTATAGCATTTTGCAGTAATGAACAAAACTAGTGCTGCCTTTCTATTTTTTTAAAATTTTCTCCTATATTAAAAACATATATTTCTAATTGTTAATATATTTTCTCAGAAAAAATGCAAGGACGTATCTCCTCATCTACAAGTACATCATGAACTTTGCAATGCTCTACGCGTTCTCCTTTGCTTGTTGATTTGAAACACAATAGCAGAATTATTACCAATCATGTTTGCGTTATGCATTTCATATTTGCCTTAAAACATTCAGATGCTCCAAACAGGCTTTTTCAAAATCTTTACGTTGTATGACTACAATATTCTCTTTGGTCTGAATTTCGCTAACTCTCGTCACGATTTTGTAAATATGCCAGAAATTCACAATTTAACGACGACGCAGATTTATCAGACTATGGCGCAATAATATATTATATTAAGCCACATAGCACACAAGGCCATATTACACATACTTGGAGACAAACCAAAAATATTCTTTCAGTAATTAAAAAATATATAGGTTCAATATAATTAATAACATGAGTGGTTTTACATTAGCCATTTTTACTACTTTGATGCCTTGAAGCATGAAAATATAATATCTACACTTACAAGTTTTGCTTATATATATATATATATATATATATATGTGTGTGTGTGTGTGTGTGTGTGTGTGTGTGTGTGTGTGTGTGTGTGTGTTTGTTTGTTTAGCCTGCACCATTTGCACTACTCGGAATTTCATTCCAAACTCAATCTTCAATAGTGACCGTTACTAATTTAACTTAATGCTCGTTTAGTTAAGTTATATCTGTTTTCCGGCGTATTTTAAAAACATATATTTTAATTATATTTCTCATGATATTAAATCCAGCAATTTATCAAAAAGTGTAAGTATATATTATGAATTATTAATTTTAATTAATAATATTATTTAAGGTCAGTTATCAACTATTGATTAATAAAAATTTCTATAATAGATGGGCGCTAACTTAATCTAATTTACTATAATATTATTTAGTATAATTAAATATAAAATAGTAACAATATTAAAGGAAAAATACTCAAGTAAAAAATAAGTAGCAATACTACAGGAAAAAAACAAAATAATAAGTAATTTTTTTAAGGACCATGATCTAAACATTACCAACACCAACAATGTTTCTAGTTGTAACATTAAACCTGGATAATTGTTACCATAAACCATACAGAAAAGAATTGCATAACCATAGATATGTTAGTAAAGATTCTAGCTACTACCACAAAATTCTATATACTTCGCATAAGTCAATACTAGTTAGATTATTCACCAACTGCAGCAACAAAAAATATTTAATAATGTTAATGATTAATATATTAAGGCCTTGGAACTTAGCAATCACAAGATAAACTAATTGGCAAACTAACAATGATGGTGAGAGAAAAAGAAAGCACTGTAAACGAAACAACATATAGTTTAACACACCTTTTAAATGTAATGTCGTAAAATTTTTCCTGAAGTTAATGCATAAGCCTTTTATCCATTAACAAACATTAAAAAATGATTTTTAACAAAATATATAATAATATAAATAAATATCATTCAACTATAACAATGTAATTTTTTTCCAAAAATAAATGCAACTGCCGAAAAAAGTATCTGTCCATTAAACGGTAAATGTATGACCGATGGTGTTGTAAATCGAGCATACATTCGTTCCGGTAGCGATGTTAAATTTTATTTTGGTTCCACCGAAAATACTTGGAAGCTTCGCTTCTATCACTACATGATTTTGGCTAACATTAAATACAGAACAGCGCCACTTTCTCTATTTATTTATTTCAATTGAAAGATTCTGGTAACCCGACTTAAATTAAATGGAATACAGTGGCAACGGCATGGTAGTTTAATGGCAGGAGAAATAGACGTAACTTATGATTAGTTGAAAAATAATCATCTTCCAGCATTTAAATAACCCGGACTTACTGAATAAGAGAAGTGCACTGATGATACCATGTAGACATAAAAATGTATACTTAAAGACGTAGACCCGGATTAATATCTCTCTGCTTT